TTCAAACCAAGACACCCCTCTAGATACTGCTCCTGAAGGCGTCTAGTTTGGGGGCTGTCTTCTCATTTCCAGAAGGAAACAATGCACTTGGAGGCAGAAGAGGAGGTAGCCGCACCACCAGCATCTCCTCCAGACGCAGCCCTGTCCTACCCCGACATCACCTTGCGGCATCCCCGAGGGCTGAAACCAGCTCCGGGCCAGAACACGCTGTTACCTTGAACATATGGGGGACGTGGAGCTTTGGAGACGGGATCCCGATCACGAGGTCGATGAGCACCATGATGACAATGGTGAGGAAAACAGCAAAGTCACTAACTGTGGACCGTACCTGGGGCAAGAAACCAGAGCTGAAAGGGGCATCGCAAACAGGGCCATAACACGAGATGGAAAAGTTGGGGACATCAACCACATTAAGGCTGGTTAACAAAATCCCACCACTCTGAGGACACGCAGCCAAATCCCGTGGCTAGACACTGCTGCTGTGTTTGTCCCTGTGACATCTGGGGTCAGACAACAAAAGAAGTTAAATCAGGTGGAAAAGGGTTGATTTAATTCAAACATTTAGGAAAATATGCCACTACAGCCAAACTCACAGCTACAACGGGAATAAGGCACTGAGGCATCATTTGTTCCTTAAAAGGAAGAAATAGTGGTTTTTCCTATGGTAGCTCCTCCTTTGGGCCAACTTTCCCCTTGAGCACATGATGCACAGAAGGTGGAAAAAAAAAAAAAAACCCAACAACTTTGGAAGAGCTGATTTCCCACTGCCCGAGTGAAAAAAAAATTGCCGTGGGGCAGGTCGCGAGGCGGGTGGGAAATGCTACAATCGTTTCGCACTTATGGAAATAAGTGGAGGACATCCAAGCTGATGGAGAGCTTGGTCTTCAAGGTCAACGTTTCCCAGCTTGGCCAAGTGCTGGCAAATACTGCTTAGTGCTCCAGAAAAGCCATTTTGGGAAAGGAGTGTGGAGACTGCTGCTGGCCACCCTCTTCTACCTACTTTGGTTGGGAAGTAACGGCTGGTTTTAAACTTCTTCAGTAAGCTCGACAGGACAAAGGTGGAGAAGAAGAGGATGCAGCACCAGAAGAGGACATTAGGTGCGTAGGGGCCATTGTGTCCACAGGCAGGTCCTCGAAACTCTCCATGCAAATACCGACATTCCTGGAGAAACAGAGTGTCAGGACACAAGGCAGTGCACGCGTGGCAAGGACACCTCGGATAACCACGGGGTTTTGAGGATCTTGGTCCAAGATCCAGGAGCTCGTGACTGCTGCTGCCAAGGGAGGCTTATACTTAATGAGCAGCAGCAGCTGAACAGGGGACACGTCAAACCACACAGACGGGAGCGGAGAGAGGAGATGTGACGGGACAGCACAGCACAGACCCATGGCACATCCTCCGCTTGAACGGCAGGTAACCGCGGCTGAAGAAGACACCAGAGGGGAAGGAAACGATGGAAACTCTTGGCGACGGAGAAACAGGGAATGGGGAAGGAGGGCTAAGACAACCACGGTGGGAAAGGAGAAGAGACAAATCGTTCCTTCCCAGCGGAGGCCTCGCAGAACCTGGCCAAGAGGGGATGAGGAGGTCCGTGAGAGCCTCCCATCCTCCGCCCGGGCTCTGCTTCCAGCAGCAACCGCCCGAGAGGCTGCTCAGACATGCAAATTTATGCATGTACCTACAGACAGCACTGAATAAGAAAGCAAGGCCTGGAGTTATTAGGAACCAATTAGGGAAGCCAATTACTACCTTCAAGCATGAATGAAGAAGTCCTCCAGCTTCTACAACAATCAAACCACCCACTTAACCTTGCTCCCGGTCAGAAACACTGTCCTGCAACAGGCTTGAGGAGGACAGGTATTGCCCACTACGCCGGCGACAGGGTGGACTGGACAAGGTGGACTCTCCTGCCCAGGACCCAGCGGGTTAACACCACGCGTTAGGTTCACGCCGTGACTTTCCAGAGCAGCACTAGCACCGTTTGAAGCCCATCATCACCCCTGAAGGGCTCTGACTTCCACACCGTGCCAACGCCCCCGGACCCCAGGGCCGTGGCACGAGGAAGCAGCGGCTCGGGGCACTTACAGTCACTGTCAGGTTCTCCCAGGTGATGCGAGACACGTTGATCTTGTGGCTCTCCCAGAAACGCAGGGTTTCATTGCTGGGATGGGTCGGTGCCTCACACTTACAGCTGGGAGGAGAGAAGCCAAGACAGGGGTAAGGGGAAAAGCGATGGAGGGGCAGCCCTGGGCTCCTGCCAAGGGGCAGCGGCGTCTGAGGAAGAAAAAAAACCCACTAGTAGATGGTGAGGAAGTCGAGGTTGCTGTGCATGTGCACCGGGTAGGTCTTTCGCAGGTGACTCAGCTTCTCCAGAGCCTCGTAGATGAAGATGATGCAGATGAGGGAGGCGAAGGCTTCTTCGGTGAAGCGGGTGATGTAGCACACCAAACAGCTGGCATCAGTGGCCACCAGCACGGTGCAGAAGAAGGCAGTCCACAGCCCGATGCACGCCCGCAGAGAGAGATAGGAGAGCGCATAGTCCCTGGGAAACCAAAAGAAAACGAAGGGTGGAAAGGCCAGCAAGAGGCTCTGGGCCGTGTCTTCCTTCGGGGAAAACTGGGAGCAATTTGGGAGCGTGTCAAGGCCGCGGATGATAAATGCAGCTTCCATGTAGTGCCGCAGACAGCCTCGGGGCTGCGGTGCAGGGTGTGGACTTGCAGGAGGAGAGGCCAATTATTTATCATTATTTAACAATTATCTTCTGTCAGCGCCTCGGAGGCGAATTGAGGTCAGGTCCCCGTTGTGGAAGGTGGTGTTCTCCCACAGCTCCCTGATGCCCTAACACCGAAACTGGCGCCCAGTCACCTGCTACCGGCAAGTTGGGGCTCAATAATAGATTTAATTGCAGTATGGGTGGTTCAGCTCACATCAATGTCATCACAACAGAAGGGCTGCCATGGAAAACATCCATTTCACATTAAAAGCTCCTACTTTTTCAATAAAATCATTAAAAGCTCAAAATATTTCAGCAGAAAACTATACGGATATTTGGGCAAAACGCACTTCCAGCAAAAAACAGGCTAAGAGGTGCCAAGTTTTGTACTCAGAGGAAAGCAAATCTTCCCTCCTTCCCAAAGCAGAGTGAGCTGCCTCATCTTCACTCGGGCAGCTCACCTTGGGCAGCCACATCCTTGTGGTTTCTCCTCCCTCCACTGCTTCTAATTTAAGCCTAAAAACCCCAAACGACCCCATCCATCCTTTAGAGACGGGGGGCTCTCGCAACATCTCGTGCTAAAGCAGCGACACGCAACGTCTGCGACACAGAAGACAACCGAAATCTAACAACTACCGCCAAGAAAAATAGAAGCAAAACATCTTTTCTCCATCCCTGCCCTCTGAAGGCTCCCGCAGCACCCGGCGGCAGCAGCCAGCCTTACTTGCAGAATTTGTAGAGAATTTTTTCGAACACGAGGACGGGTCCCGTGCTGCCGAGGATGGTGAGCGGCTGGCCAGCGAAAAGGGAATACACCACACCCGTCATGGACGCGCCCAGCAGTGACTCCATGGCACTCTGTCCAGGGAAGAGAGGCAGCAGTGAGTAAATAAATCTTTAGAGACAAAAACCAAAGCACCTTCACCGCAGCAAGGACTTTTGCCTGAGTTTTATCCTGCCCTCCGCCCCCCGCAACGCTGCCCAACAGAGAGAGGTGCTCACTATGTGGCCATCGGTCGCCTCCCCCAGCAGTCCCCCAAAGGTGATGACGGGGGACATGCAGGCACAGTATAGGAAAAGGAAGGAGGCCAGACATTGGAGGCTCAAGCCATCACGAAAGTCAGTCCAGAACCACGGGGCCTTCCGCTTCACATCCAGAATCAAACCTCCAAAGAGCCTAGAGGAAGGAAAAAACCCAGATTGTTCTCCTGGAAGACCGCGCTGAGCTTTCTTTGCTGCAGAAGGGCAATCACAGGCACAGAAGAGCCTTCCTTGCTAAAAAGAGGCCGTCTCCTCCCATTTTATACCCAGCAGAAGCTGAGGCACACAAAAAAACCCACCCTACACAAAAAAAAACCACCCTGCGACAGACAAGGACCCAATGTGAGAGCCCAGCCCCTCTTATTGCAAGAGTCCCTTGCTTTGAGAAGCAGCAGAGCTCTACCTGGAGGTATTTACACATCTGCTTCCACCCCAAATCGAGAAGACCTGTGTGCAACCACACCGTGGCTGAGCCCAGCTGCCCAGATCTCCCGCCTGCCCAGCCCAGGGGATGAAGCTGGTGATGTGCAGCCCCTTCGCTGAGCCAACTAACCCCAAAACCTGCTAGAAGGGAAGGTGTGTGCTCAGATTTGAGAGGGAAATCAAAAGAGAAAACCAAACCCCAAACTATTAAAGCTCACACCTTCCCGTCCGCTCCAGTTCAGGACCACTGTGTTTCTCTGGCTTGCTGTGGGAAGCGTTGTCATCGAGAGCTCCCGGCATCTTCCTTTTTTCCTGTTAAAAGGGAAATAAGATAAAGACATGTATTCGTGACCACTGGCTTGTTTTGCTTCTGGTCTGGGGATGTGACTGTGTCAAGGTGGGACCTCGTGAATTTGGGCCTCCAGCCGTGCTGCCGCCCTGCCCGCCCCCCTCCGCCGCAGCACCCACCTGCGAAGGGACGTTTTTCGGGGGCTCGATGCGGATCGATGGATCCCACTCTCCTGGAGGCAAGACCGTGACCTGATCCAGGAACTCGTCGATGCCGGCCACGAGGTCAGCCCGGTTCTTGGCTTTATAGGCAACGTCATGGAAAACCTAGCGAGAGGAGACATCCTGGTGAGAGGACAACCCATCGGACGGCCCAGACAGTGCAACAAGCTCTTGGCTAAACGCAAGATAATTTTGCCCAAAATTTCCCAACGGCAGGAAATATTCCCCCAACAGGAAAAATCCTCTGCATCGTGGTATTTGTAATCGTCTCCACGAGGCTCCTGTCCCCCACGGCACACCAGAGCCTTTTGCTTAAAGAGGAGATGTTTTAGGGGGCCCTGGCAATGCCAGCCCTGGGGGGACCCCGGGGAGAAGGATGAGGTGCAGGATGCACCCCGGGTGGGATTTCAGCCTCCAGGATGTGGGGTGACGCAAATCCGAGTGTTTGCTTTGGGGTGTGAACAAAGGGGGGGCTGTTGGGAGAGCTGCGGGCAGCTGGGACAGCAGATCCTCTTCCTCACTACTACAGAGACAGGGAGAGGTGAGGAAAGCCAAAAAGCGACCCGGAGAGATCTCTTATCTCGTTGCACCTCATCCGTCATGATGGTAGCCATGGACCTGCCGATCTCATGGTACTGATGGGCTTTTCCTTCTGGTCCAAGCAAAACAAACAGGAACCTGAGCAAGAAAAACAAAATGAGAGAGAAGAACGTGCCCCTGCTCAAAGAGCACCCAAGGAAATCCCCGGGAGCTCCCAGCCCAGAGCGCGGCTCAAGAGGGGACTTCGCGCTCACCGACTTCACGATGAATTTGAAATTCGTCAAAACCAACCGCAAATTTAATTTTGGGGCCAACTTTCATTAAAATTGGCCAACGGGTTTAAAAGATACGGAAGGGAAGGGAGAAATGAAGGTGAGGAGATGTGGGTGGGGGAAACGAGCTCGCTCCCACCGGCCTTGTTCCCTGCGGATGCCAAACCGACGCACGCAATGGGGCGTTGTTTTGTTGGGGTTTTTTTTTAAATAAAAACTTTAGCGCTTCTCCTTCAGACCTTGTTGGGATGGGAACTTCCGTCATGCCCGAGAGGAGGACAGCCGGGGTCAGGCGGACAAATGCCACGATGGGCTGGTGAAGGAAATCCAGCTCTCCTACGAGCACGTTGGACGCTTCGGCCCCGGTGGGAATTTTCTTCATGAAGTGCAGCTCCGCCTGGGCAAGACAAGCGATTTTCAGGCAATCACCCCAAAAGCAAAGCCCCCAGCACCCTGCAGCTCACTCTGCAGCCAAGCTTCCAAGCGCAAATCTGGCCCTCAAGGCGTAAGAAAGCTACGAGTGTCTCACCTTGCTTAAATCCATTGCGTTGGTCTCATGGTTCACCCCATTTTTAGCTTCTGCAGTGCTGGGAGAAGGATGAGGGGTGAGTGTTTGGGCTGGAAGGAAAAAGAAAGACAATCAGAAAGACGGACAAAGAGCAATTGGGATGCTTCTCCTTAACCAGGGCAAGTCCAATGGGGCCAAAGCCTGGCAGAAACCCTCCCCTGGTG